GGAAGGAAGGAAGGAAGGAAGGAAGGAAGGAAGGAAGGAAGGAAGGAAGGAAGGAAGGAAGGAAGGAAGACAGCATGACAGTATAACAGAGTCAGAAGGGACCAGAGGACTTCTAGTCCAACCATTTCAGACAAGTGGCTGACCAGTCTCTTTTTAAAAACCTCCAGTGATGAAGCCCCCGCAACTTCTGGTGGCAAGCTGTTCCACAAATTAATTGTCCTGTCTCCTTAATTCCAGGTTGCTTCTCTCCTTGATGAATTTCCACCCATAGTTGCTTCTTGTCCTGCCCTCTGGTGCTTTGGAGAATAGCTTGGAGAATCCCCCTCCTTTGGGGCAGCCCCTGAGATATTGGAGCACTGCTATCCTGTCCCCTCCCCAGTCCTTCTTTTCATCAAACTAGACGTAGACTAGACAGTAGAATGAAGCCCACCAACCCCTGTTTGATGCGAGGATGACTCTCATCCAGTAGAAGGGATCGGCGGAGTCCGAGGACATGATTCCGAATAATGGTATCTACAAGAGTCGGAACAATATTAAGCATGAATGAAAATAGAAGACAGAGGTGATTTTTGAGAATGGCGCATACAAACACGGAGTCGTTTGGGGCAAAAAAAAGTCCACACCATTTTTTGGTGGGAGATTCTTCAAGGATGCGCACCGTCAGTGCAGGTATTCCTCGACTTACACCCGAGAGGAGCCCAGAATTTGAGTCGTACGTCATTGTGGTTGTACATTGCAACACCACGTGGGCGGACTCAATTTTACGACAGCTTTCACAGCGGTTGTTATGCAAACCACAAGGTGGTTAAGCAAATCTCATGGACATTAAACAGATACATTCTTCTGCATGGGCAGGTTTTTTTTTTTTGCTGGAAATTGTAATTTTGAACTGTCCTAAAGCAAACTGGTTGTAAGTTGAGGATTACCTGTATAAAGTTAAAATTAAAAAAGAAACAAACCACTTAATCTTTCCCCTGGTATAGACCTCAAAATGAGGAGACCCCGTGGCTTAGAGGTTAATACATCTATTTAATATCCTGTTTCTCCAAAAATATGACCTACCCTGAAAGTAAGTCCTAGCTTAGATTTTTCCACGTGCACCCAATGTAAGCCCTACACCCCAAAATAAGCCCTAATTAAGATCCCACACACTCCAGAGTGGATGGGTAAAAATTAAGGTAGGCTGGGGATGGGGGGGTGGAGCTGCCCTACTACTTCACTTTGGACAGGTGTAGCCAGGCCTCACACACCCCAACACCTGCCTGGCCCGCCCAGCCGGCCAGGCTTTCCTCAAGGCCGCTGGAGCTGATAACAAAGCTCTGGATCAATCCTGAGCTCTCTTATCAGCTGCAGAGGCCTTCAGGAAAGCCTTGCTGGCTGCAGAAGAAGTTCCTGAAGGCCTCTGACAGAGAAAAGGAGGCCAGGGGTGACGCACATAAGTGAGGTGTGTCAGTGGAGGACATCCCCCCAAAATAAGACCTGGTGCCTTTTTTGGTGGCAAATACGAAATATAAGACAAGTCCAAATGATTTCTCCTAATCCTCAATTCCCCTACTCCCGTGATGGCAAACCTATGGCACGCGTGCTACAGATGGCATGCACAGCCATTTGTGCCGGCACACGAGCTGCAAGCAAACTTACCTCACTGCACATGCACACGCCTCACACCTGATTTTCGGCTGGTTTGAGGCCTTTTTCGGCCTCCCAAAGGCTTGAGGAAAACTTCTGCAGGTTTTGCAGGCCGAAAACTAGCCCTATTTCATTACTTGTTTTTCTGAAAATACCGGAAGTGATGAAACGGGCCTAGTTTTTGGCCTTCAAAGCCTGCAGAAGCCCTCCTCAAGCCTCTGGGAGGCCAAAAATCAGCTGTGAGGCGCAGTGCAGGTAAGGGGATGGGTGGAGATTGTGCGCGCATGCATAGGGGGCACGGGGAGCGCACACTGCCTTCTGGGTGCTGGCACGAGTGCGAGTATGCAACCACACATGAAGAATCAGTGGCCCAAATCTCCTGGACACATTTATGCCCTTTCTGGTTATCAGCAACCACACTTCTATGAATGTTGGTATATACAGATAGTATATACCAGCTTACAACAGTTTGTTTAGTGACCGTTCAAAGTTACAACGGAGCTGAAATAAATGACTTATGACCATTTTTCACACTTACGACCTTTGACGCACCCCCATGATCACATGATCAAAATTCGGACTCTTGGCAACTGACTCACATTTATGACGGTTGCGGTGTGCCGGGGGGGGGGGGGAGTCAAGTGATCCCATTTTGGTACCTTCTGACCAGCAAAGTCAGATTCGCGTCACGACTGGGTGACTAACTTACCAATGCAACCAGGGTGAGAAAGGGCAAAACTCACTTAACCACAAAAATCTGGCGCTCAATTGTGGTCGTTAAGTCAAGGACTGCCTTTATGAATGTCAAAGGGCTTCTGCAGCAGAACGTACAACCTCCAGCCCTATTGATTATCTTGGGACATCAGGCAGACTATATGTTAGTCTGATGGAAGGTGAGCATTTAAAGGATCTTGGCCTATTATTGAGGTCAATTCTTACCTGGCAGCATACTAAAAAAATGAAGAGGGTGATAGCTGTCCATAAAACTTTCTCTCTGAACTGAATCTGTAAAATAAAACCAAGTTAACCAATATAAATTGTTTAGGATAGCAAGATGAAAAAACAATAGAACCACATCTCCATGGGGATTCTCAGTCATTCATGCCATGGTCAACCCAAAGCTGCTTTTTTTTTCAAGAGGCAACTGGACTTCCTTGTTCTTCTTTGAAGACACTTTGCTTCTCATCTGAGAAGCTTCTTCAGCTCTGATTGGATGGTGAGGAAGGGAAGGATTTATATTCCTTGCAGACAGCCGGTCATTTGCATCCTTTTAGAGGGTCATTGAGGCCACTTGGAGGTTTATTGTGTGTCATCAGATGAATGATCATGTCATCATTTTGGACTGAGAAGACAGCTGGTTTGAAAGAGGGGGTCCAAGAGGCCATCTAGGTCAAAATTGAACAGCCCTCTCAATAGATGGGGAGGGATACGACATCATCTATCTCCAGTCTACAACACAGTCCTTTCAGCAGTTCCAAGAAGGCCCCACACCCATTTGCACCATTCAGGTGACTCCAGGGATACAGGTAAACCTCCAAGTGGCCTCAACGACCCTCTTAAAGGAGGCAAATGACCAACTGTCTGCAAGGAGTATAAATCCTTTCCCTTTCCCACCATCCAGTTTGTTCTGACCCAAACCTTGTTCCAAGGAAACAAACACGAAACAGAAAAACCGTTTAATGATTCTTTACGAATTCTGTTCCTTCCTGGTTAAAAGGCTGTTTCAAACTTATCGTCTCTGATAAGAACGAGCCTTGCCAAGGTGGTGCAAGGCTGCCAAGAACACTAGATAAAGTTGCCAAGAAATAGTTCAAACACAAAGAGTCTCCAAACACCAACCAAGAGAATCCAAACATCCACAAGGCTTGAGTGCAAAAACTTCTTTGCTTCCTGCAAAGAACTCCGGTTTCTCAGCTGGCTTTTATCTCTTCAGGGAGGGGCCATCAGCTTGCAGCCTTACTCCTGAGTCGCCCCTGCTGCTGCAGCTGCTCTTTCCTTCGAGCAGCCCTGCAGGCACTGGGCCCAGGCTCCTCAGGGACCTCTTCCTCACTGCTGGCAGCCTCCACAACTCCAAAGGCAGCGTTCCACTCCCTGATGGTCCTGGCCCTATCCCTGCATCACATGCCCTTCATCCAAGTCCTCACTCGCTGAGACCTCAGCCGTCCGCACCCGCTGCCGGCAAACCATAACACAGTCAGAGCTGAAGAAGCTTCTGGGATGAGAAGTGAAACATCTTCAAAAGAAAAACCAGAAAGTCCAGTTGCCTCTTGAAAAGAAGGACCCTTGGGACCACCACATCACCATGTTATACTATTCACAAAATGAACTTGTACTTAATTATATGGAATTATCAGATACAGTAGAGACAGCTGAGGTTCAAAAAGTAAGGCCAATGATGGGTTAGGACTTGAGGGGACAAACGTGTTGTGCTAGTTGAATCATTTTTTTTAACTTTCACAAGTACACAGAGTCAAAAGGAAGTACTGATAGAAGAGAATTATTTATAGCTCAGGACTGAATTGTGGGTTCCTTAGTCCATTCTCTGAGCTTGGTTTTATTTTATTTTTATAGCAGAACTTTCACTACCCAACTAAGTAACATCACCAGTGCTAGGAGAGAATGGGCCTTGTTCTCATTGGGCTTACTCATTATCAATAGTGCAAACCCCACTCGCTTCGGCACTGATGATCTTATCTACTTTGATAATGAGATGTCTGCAAGAATACAACAAAGCTCAGAAAACAAGGACTTCAAAAGCAAATATTAAGAGCTTCCCTATCTTACCGCTGGGATACTGTAAATTAAGTCCTTTTTTCCATGCATGACTAAAGGGAAATACTTCATCCAATGGTCTTAATGGTTGTTTAGTGAAATCTGTTTGCACACTGACTCGGAAATAAGTCTCAGCCAAATAAGCAGAATTTACCTTCACAAATACTTAACATTATCTACCCAAATTTCCACAATCTCATTTATATTTGAAAATTACAGACAGCACTCAAATTTCCCACGTCTTCTCTTTAAGAGCCTGATTTCCTAGAATTTTAAGACTTTAAAAATGCCTTCTGTGAATCTTGCATAAGAAAAGTCACGGCACTTACTTTCCTTTCAGGCTTCTGGATTTCGGGTAAAACAGCACAGAAGGGCTTAATGAGTTCCAGAAATTTGACTGTTAAAAGATTTAAAAAAAGGCACAACATACATTACGGCGATAATAGAGGTGAGAATAAAAGTACAGAACGTGCAAAGTATTGTCAAGAGAACTTCCTTTAACTGCCTGCAAATATTTGTCTTACTTTAATGCCCATGACACACAAGGGGGCTGTGTCAATGTTGAATATCATTTGGAAGACCTCATAGATAAATCCACAATGGAGCCCCTAAATTTTGAGTCAGTTTACAAACATCCGAAAGTAAATCACACGACTGTGGGGAATGCTGCAATGGTCATAAGTGTGAGAAATGGTCATAAATAACTTTTTTCAGTGCCATTGTAACTTTGGTCTGTTGTTAAGTCAAGGATTGCCTGTATAAGAAATGGTATTTAAATATATATATGCATACAAGAAAGGCTGCATCACTAGCAGTTAAATGCTCTTTTATGATTAGTCACATCCAAAGCAATTTTCTCATTTTGTTATTTCTTTTATTTACCCAAATAAATATTTCTGCACAAATTGTCCCTCTCACCAGAACAATGCACAAGAGATTTGTGCATTTATGGACTGTGTTTAATGAAAACTTATGAGTCAAAGTATTGGCTAGCTTTAAGGAACAAATACCTAAGTGCAACATTATTGCTACGTTTAAGAAAAAGCAAACTTTTCCTAACCTTATTTCAGCTTTGAGGAAAAGATAAAACAAACACAAGAGTGTTTTGTGTGCAAAATTGTGGAGCCCATCAAAGGCTAGACATTAAAACTCCTAGAACCCACAATTGTTGGTTGCATTTTATTGTATTATAGTTTTAAAAATATCTAGAAAACCCTATTTTTACCTCCCTGAATTGGCCTTCATAATAATTTGAAGTCGTGCATTTAACAAGCACCTATTATCTCTAGATAGGTCCTGCAACATCCACAGATTTAAAAGCAGGTGTATTTTCCTAAGGATACTCATGCAACTACAAATCCGTGCAACCATTTGGTTTACAGTGAATTGTGACATGATCTCTACCAAACAGACACTTGACATACTTCCTACTGGCAAAGTTCGCTCAAGACGTGGCACCTTGTACAACCATGTTTATCATCACCAGAACCTGAGCAAACGTCGTTGTATTTTGCATCCCCCTCGGAGCATGGACCAACCTCATGTGCAGGTGTGGGAGAGGAGAGAAGGACAAAAAAGAAAACGAAAGAAAGAAAGAAAAAGGAAGGTCCATTGGCTTTTGGGGGGGATGGGTTTTGGAGGCAATGACTCCAATATCGGGCCTGGGCAGGTTTGTACCAGGGCTAATCCAGGGGTGACATTTTAGGTGGTGGCAGTAGCTGCCATATCAGGAGGGAACAGAAAAAGGAAGAAGGTTGGGAGGAAAGAGAGAGGGAAGGAGGGAAAAGAGAGGAAGGGAGGGGGAATAAGGAAGGGAGGAGAGGAAGGAGGAAGAAAAGGAGGAAGAAAGGAGAGGAGGAGGGAGGGAAAAAAGGAAGGAGAGAAGGGGAAGAGAGGAAAGAGGGAGAGAGGAGGAGGAAGAGGAAGGAAAGGGGGAATAAGGAAGGGAGGAGAGGAAGGAGAGAAAAGGAAGGAGGGAGGAAGAAGGGAAAAAGAAGGAAGGAGGGAAAATGAAGGAGAGAAAAAGAGAAGGAAGGAGGGAAAAGGAGAGGAAGGGAGGGGAAATAAGGAAGGAAGGAGAGGAAGGAGAGAAAGAAGGAGGGAAAAAGGAAGGAGGGAAAGATAGGAAGAAAGAAAAAGTGGGAAGGAAATAAGGGAGGAAGGCAACTCTACTCCCAAGTATCTCTCAGCCCACCTCTCCATGCCAACAGCAGGTACATATGCAACTACAAAAACCATACGTGGGGTGGGGGGTGGGGTGTCACCAAGCAACCCTCCCACAAGCCACAAGCCTTGGGGGGGGGATGAAATACCAGCAATGCACTGCATAATGGGGGGGGGGGGGGGGGGGGGCAGGCTTCAACTTTGCAACCCCCCCTAAGGAGCCCCTGATCCCAGCCCTGCAATGTCCTGGGTACCCTTCCCACCCCCGTTTCTTCCATCTTCCCTTTTCCTCCTTCCTTCTCCCCTCTTTTCCATCTCTCCTTCCTTCCTCTTCTTCCTTCAATCCCAGTCCCTCCTTTTTTCCCCTCCCTCCTCCTCCGAATTCCCTTTTCCTCCCTCCCTTCCTCCCCTTTCCCCTTCGTTCCTCCCTCCCCTTCCCTCGTTCCCCCCCTTCCTTTTTTCTTCCTTTCTCTTCCCTTTCTTTCCCCCTTTCACCTTCCTTCTTTCCTCTTCCCTTTCTCCCTCCTTGCTTCTCTCTCCTTCCTTCCCATTCCCTTCTTTTCCCTTTCCTTCCTTCCCTCCCCTTTCCTTCCTCCCTCCCTTTTTCCTCCTTCCTTCTTTGCATTCCCCGCTTCCTTCCTCCCTTTTCCCCCCCTTCCCATTCCCTCCTTCCTTTCCTCCTTCTCTCCTTTTTTCTCCTCCCTCCCTCCCGCCTTCCTTTTCCCTTCCCCCCCTTCCTTCTTTCCTTCCTTCTCCTCCCTCCCTGCCTCCCCCGAGGGAACCCATAGCCCGGAATGAGCCCGGGGGCCACCGGGGGAGAGAGGAACGGTGAGGAGGGGGACCCCCGCCCGGCCCGGCCCCTTCACTCACTGCCCATGCTGGCGGAGGCGGGCTCCGGGCTCCGCGGGGCTGGCAGGCAGGCAGGCGGACAGGCTGCAGCAACTCCCCTACCCCGCCTCCGGCCTCCTCGCCGCTCGGGAGGCTGCCGGCCTCAGCCCACGTGACCCGTGACGTCTTAAGCGGCGCGGCGCGACGAGCGGGAGGAGGACGTCCCGCCTCCCCATTCCCGCTAGAGGGCGCCGGGACCTAACCAACGGCACCCAAGCGCGGCGGGTGGGGGGGAGGTGAGAGAAGACCGGGTCGCCCGTTTTCTCAGGTAGCCCCCCCTTCTCTCAGGATGGGCCCTTCCTCTCCCTTGGCAAGCTCCGCAGCTCAGTGCAGGCGGTGCTCGACTTGCACCGTTCGTTTAGTGACCGCCGCGAGCCCTTTGCAAGCAGGAAGCTCGTACTGGCGGTCCTCGACTTGCAACCGTTCGTTTAGTTTACAGTGGCACTGAAAAAAAAATGACTTATGCCCGTTTTTCACACTTAACGACCGTTGCACCATTCCCACGGTCGGGATGCTTGACAACTGACTCGCATTTACGACAGTCACAGCATCCTAGGGGATTGTGGGATCCCTTTGGCGACCTTCCGACCAGCAAAGTCAATGGGGAAGCCAGATTTGCTTAACGACCGGCGTTGCTAACTGAACAACGGTGATGATTTGCTTAATGCCTGCGGTCGGAAAGGTCACAAAATGGGACAAAGCTGACTTAATGTGTGTCTCACTTGGCAGCATAAATCCTGGTCTCCACTGTGGTTGTTTTTAAGTCGAGGACTACCTGTGCTGGGCCTGGCTGGGGGTGTCCAGATCTTTTGGAGCCCATGGAGGAGCTGTGCATCATCTGTGTTAAGGAGGGGAGATGTAGTGCGGAAGGAAGGGAGGGAGGGAGGGAAGGAAAGGGAAGAAGGAAGGAAGGAAAGGACTGAAAGAAAAGGGAAGGAAAGGGAAAGAAGGAAGGAAGGAAAAGGAAGGAAAGAAAGGGGAAGGGAAGAAGGAAGGAAAGGGAAGGACTGAAAGAAAAGGGAGGGGCCTGGCTGCATCAGAGGCAGATTGTGCAGCATCGGATGCATTTCTTAAAAATAAATGGATATTTGCAGAGAATCTTGGTTGGGTCTTCCTGCCCGTCTCTGAATTCTTCATCCTACCACATCGTTTTTATAATAATTTTATTTTCTCAGCATAGAGTTGTCAGCTATGTTTCATTCATTCATCCACACCCATCCACACACACACACACACACACCACGTTTGGGGCTCAGTTGTGGTAGTAAGTAAAGTACAGGTTGTAATATCTGTATTTTTATGCTCATGGGATAAAAATAAAGAGAGACATCATAGTTTGTAGGACAACTTTTCTGCTTATCAGTTAGACATAAAAACCGGCTTTTTATTATTAAAATAAGAGAAAGATTCAAGACTCCATGTAACTTTGATATTTCAGTTTTATTACAGTAGTGTATGTTGATATTCAAGACCATGTCTTTGCTTCCCTCTGAAAAAGAGTTACAGCAACAACAGTAAAAACCAATTTTTCTTCAAACAGAAAACAAGAGCGCATCCATCAACGATCCTTGAATTTTTTATTAAGCAGGAGTTGGATTTAGTGGCAATTTTCAATTCAAGAACTCGGAATTCAAATAGCAGTTTGCTCTGCAGAGTGATTTCTTTGACCTGGTGGCCTTCCCTCTTATCCAAACTTAAAAATCATCCTTGAGAAATTCCTTTCAGCCCCAAATCGCTAAAGATACAAGGATTTACTGGGATCAGATCTTTCAAGGCAATAAAGAAACAGAAAATGCATTTGGGGTAGTGCAATAAATGTTAGTTTGGAAACATGAAAAGATTTGAAAAGAAATCAATTGTCACAGTTCCTAAAACATTTTGGTTGCAGGTACAGAAAATACAATTAAGGCATTCACAGCAAACCAAATAAAAGAGGGAGAAAAAAAATGATATTTTACACCCGCATTATTTCATCATACAGAATATCAATTTAATCCCATTTTATAGATGTGAGAACAGAACCTACTATAATTCATTACACAGTTGCAGTTTTCAATTTATATTTTCTCTATTTCAAATCTCACCACCACCACCCCAAAAAATCTGTGTATGTGGTTGATAAGATGGCATTGATTAGATGGCAAAAAAACCCTTTCATAATCAATTTCAACTCTAAGCAACCAGCAAAGATGGTGAAAATATTTGGACTATGGATGGAAAATGTATAGCTTCATATTTAAGTACATCATAAAATAAATTTAAGGCTGGCACATGGCACCCATAACCATACTTTGTACATAAAAAATATTTTTTCTGACAAGAATTGTTGAGCAACAATATTCCACTGTCTGGAATCCAAAAGGACATAACCCAGATTAATGTTTTTATTTGCATAAAGTAGGCCTATGCAGCTTTTAGATGGTTAAAGTGCACCCATAAAACAGGGCTTGTTTTTGCAATCAGAGCTGTATGTACAATAATTCCTGCATTTAAAAATTCCCTGATTTTCTGTGGTTTACAGACCACCTTTGTTGCCAAAGGCAGATCAACTGTCAAAAATTATTTTACACATCTCAGAAAAACTACTTTTAAGAAATTCTTTCTGAGAAATTCACCCCGGGATATTTTTTGTTTTAATGGAAAACACTAAATCCTACAGTTTGGTTTGTAATGCCACAGGCAAGCCAGCTAAATAGGATTATCCCCTGCTGCATTGTAATATGATTTAAGAACTTCGATAAAAACCATTGTACTGATTTTAAAAACGGTTGGTCTATTCTCCACGCTCACCCATCGGTGCAAAGGCGGAGAAATGTAAACAGGTTTAAATCCAAGGGTGAGATTCTACCGGTTCGCTCTGATGATCAGAATCAGTTTGCTCCAATGGTCAGCTGTTGGCCCTCCCAAATGGCTGGGACTCTAGTCTGTGCTTTATATCCTGGTTTGCAAGCTCAGCTGATTTGGATGTCAGCTGTTTAACACACAGAGATTGCTGGAGAAGGTCAGTAAAAATAAAAAAGCCAATGCAATCCTAAATTGCATTAACAGAGGGATACAATCCAGATCAAGGGAGGTACTAATACCACTCTATAAAGCCTTAGTAAGGCCACACCCAGAGGACTGCATCCAGTTTTGGTCACCAGACTATCAAAAAAGATGTTGAGACTCTGGAAAGAGTACAGAAAAGAGCAACCAGTATGATGAGGGGACTGGAGGCTAAAACATACGAAGAATGGTTACAGGAACTGGGCCTGGCTAGTCTAGGGAAGAGAAGGACCAGGGGAGACATGATAGCAGTCTTCCAATATTTGAGAGGCTGCCCCAGAGAGGAGGAGGTCAAGCTATTCTCTGAGGCACCCAAAGGCCAGACAAGGAATAATGGATGGAAACTGAACAAGGAGAGATTTAACCTGGAAATCAGGAGAAACTTTCTGACAGTGAGAACAGTCAATCCATGGAACAAAAGTTGCCTTCGGAAGTTGTGAGAGCTTCATCCCTGGAAGCTTTCAAGAAGAGATTGGACTCCCATCTGCCAGAATTGGTGTAGGATCTCCTGCTTGGGCAGGGGGTTGGACTAGATGACCTGCAAGGTTCCTTCCAACTCTGATTATCTGTTATCAGTAGCAAATGTTCTGCATGTGCGGGCTCACTGAACTGGTTGTTATATTGGTTGAATTGCACCCCTGTTTAAATCCCAGGAATTTGCACTGGCAGAATTGGACATCTGCAAGGAAAAGGAAGAGATAAAAACTCCCGCTTTATAACTCCGGTTTGGCCAAATTCATTTCAGTAGCATAGAACCTCAAGAGTAAAAAAAAAAAAAAGTTTTTTTAAGTTTTGGATTTTTTTTTTTTTTTTTTTGCTTTCCAGGCCTCGTTGTTAACAGCAAAAGTCCCACGGTGGGTTAAGCCTTCAACCGAACGTTTCGGTGAGGAGATTTTGCTGTTGTTTCTGGTGCAGCACTCCAATGCCCACGGCAGGGGCTGGCAAGGCGGGTCGGCTGACAAGGCTGAGCTGGGAGGAAGTGCAAAAGAGGCAACATTAGACCCTGATCCCTTTTGGTCAACTGGGGTTAAAAAGACGCTGGAGATTCGGGCTGCAATTCTGCAGCTCCTCAGATCTTTCTTTCTTTCTTTTTGGATGCCCTTTTTTGCTTGTATCTTACGATTTATGTTGCTTTCTTTACTATCCTAGTGTGGTTTGTGTTGATTGCTTGTTTAGTATTCCTATGACTATCACTAATTGTTGTATCTTATGATTTAGGTTAGGATGAATGTGTTTTATGAGGATTATTTATGATCATGATTTATCACTTGGTTGCTTGTATGTACACTGAGACCACATGCACCAGAGACAAATTCCTTCTGTGTACAATCGCACTTGGCCAATAAAGAATACAATTTCTATTGTATTCTATTTTCCTTTCCTCTATTCTATTCCATTCCATGTTCTGTTCTGTGCTATTCTACTCTATTCTTCATTCTATTCTCTATTCTATTCTATTCTCTTTTCTATTCCATTCCATTCCATTCTCCTTTCCACGGTTCTGTTCTATTGTCCTATCCTATCCTATCCTATCCTATCCTATCCTATCCTATCCTATTTTCCTTTCCTTTCCTTTCCTTTCCTTTCCTTTCCTTTCCTTTCCTTTCCTCTATTCTATTCTTTTCTTTTTTCTTTCCTCTATTCTATTCCATTATGATCTAGTCCTATTATTATTATAATTATTTTAATTTTTAAACTCTGTAATGTAATTGTGATGTGGTGTTTAGGGCACTATGCTGGGGCAGCTTTCAAATTTCATTGTATTCATAGAATGCAATGACGATAAAGGTTTTCTCTTCTCTTCTCTTCTATAATTCTCTATTTTTCTTTCCTCTGTTCTACTCCATTCCATTCCATCGATTCTACTCTACTCTACTCTACTCTACTTGATTCTATTCTGCATTCTGTTCTGTTCTATTCTAATTCTAAATCTGTTCTAAATCTAAATCTATTCTAATTCTGAATCTATTCCAAATCTAAACCTATACAGTTCTGTTCTATTTCTGTTCTGCTCTACTCTATTATTTCTTTTGTAATGTTTTGATTGCTTTG